TGCACCTATGGGTGCACAGAATGCGGACTCCGTTGAGGGGGTAGATGCTGGGGCTTACAAAGACATCCTCGTATTGTTCCAAGACTTGTGTAAGGGTCTACATTTGATCGCTGCTAGGTTGCCAAGTGGCTACTAGCTTCAGTATGGGAGTGATGGGCTCTGGACCGATATGCATCAGTAATAAATGTTCAATTCCATTGACAGCTTGGAGATTAGAATCTAGTTCCTCAACCAAGGGTTTTGGAGTCTCCAACCCCTGAAGATGGCAAAGTTGACCCTCCTGATAGAAGTCCATGGTCATGCTGCCCCAGTCACATAGGATAGGACCAATTTCCGTAACCATTGAACCCCAAGAACAATGTCGGCTCCATTGAAGTCTAGAGGATGCATGTCAATGATAAATGTGCAACCCTGGATGACTAGTCTCTCATTCTTATGGATGCTCTCATAATCAATTTGATTTCCATTAACTACTCGAATAGAGAAAGGAGTGGTGTAATGGACAACCATACCTAGCTGGTGGGCTAAAACCATGGTGAAGTTTAAGGTATTTCCATTGTTGACGAGGACTATTACCTATTGGGAAATGGGGTCACTGGAACTTGGAGGAGAAACTTTGAGGCGCATCTAAAGACATTGTCTTTAAAATGTTATTTGTCTCCACTCAGTTCTACTAAACTTGTTATTGGGTTACAGAAAAATCCATTCTCAGGATATAATAGAGCCTTGAGCAAAGTCTAATGAGATTAAAATCCAACACCACCATCCAACCAATGATCTTCTCATTCACTCTAATGGTTATGGGGGAGGACAACCCGGTCAGAGCCTTCTCAAGGCCACCCATAGATTCTGGTGACGAGCTTCTGTAATTCAACCTGGTTATCTTTTACCGTACCTATTTTCTTCACTCTGGAGAGCACCTTGTCATAATCATCATATCCCATCGGGCCAAAACGAGTGCACAGGCGATATGAGGCTTTGAGCGCCTAAACCACTGAGCAATCGTAAGACGTTGGGCACCCAAAATCTCATAGCTATTTCAACTTTGGTATGAGCATGCAAGATGCTCTAGGTTTGGGTGTCTGTTGGGGGTGAGAGTGGGTGAAAAAGGAACGAAAAGTTCATTGAACAGTTCAGTCAATGGTTGAAGGAGTGTACTGAACAAGGAGAGAGGAAAATGGGCTTTTAGTTCATTATGTTGTGTTATTATGAAATACTTAGAAATGTTAATGGCTATGATTGACAGAACCAAGGTTCAAAGTATATATATATATATATATATATATATGTATATATCCTTGTTTTCATTTATTAACAACAATATTTTTACCAAATTGTCATTATTCTTTTCGTTTTCATTTATTAATTCTCTCTCTTCTCTACCCAAGAATTCAACAACTCTATTTTCAATTTTTCATTTATTTCTATTTTCAAATTTCATTTATCTTTAATGTTATGGAAACAAACTAACCTCTCTCTCTCTCTCCATGAATTCAACTACTCCCTCTATTTTTATTTACAATAATATATTACTTCTACTTCCACTTAATTAATTAATAATTTTAGTTTTATCAATTATTAATATTAAAATTAGAGACAAAGACGACAATTTAAAATTGGAGGAAACATAAAAATTGGAAACCCCAATAAATTGTAGAGAAAGTAGAGCATAAAAAATGATGGAAATAAAGGAAATAAACTAATTGTGAAATACATCTACAAATTGGCATTTACAAATTATGCATATCTAAACTTATTTTTTTGGTAAACAAATGGATCATTTTACTAAAATACCCCTATAGTTTCATACTATAAACCTGCCCTATAGTTTGTGATTTACTAAAACACCCTTATAGTTTGCAATTGATTTACTAATCGACCTTCAATTAGATGACAGTGGAAATAATAGTTTTGACCCTAATCTATCTATTTGAATAAATTTTACCAAAAGAAAATAAAAATAAAATACCTTTTTTGCCCCTAGTAATAAACGAGCAACCACTCTATTTGGCTCTATTTGGTTAGTGAGGTACTTTTGGAATAAACAGTCATGGGGCACATGCCCCTTGAACATTTTCCACTCAATTTATGTGATCATGTTACTATTTTCATTTGGCAAAACAAACAGTTCTTAGTGAAAAGTAGATTAAGTAAATAGGTTGCAAATTATAGGGGGTGTTTTAATAAAGTGAAAACTATATGGTAGGTTTAAATAAATCCATGAAACTATAGTGGGTGAAAACTATAACCTGTGTGGGATCATGTCAGCATGGCCCATGGCCCAGCCCACAGCACAGCCTAGCCCAATTGAAACTAATTGTTTTCTAGCTGTTATATAATGGCAAAAATACCCCCAACAACTATAAACAATTATTTTAAGGCTCCTTCACCCCCTGGACTGGTCAAAACCCCAATACACCCTCTATAGGGGCACATTGGGGTGCTCCCGAAACGATACGTATCGACCGATACGTGTCGATACTTTGAACCTTGCCAATGATGCTTGGAATTATTTTACGATCAATGATGTAGTGGGAAAGGGCATGATAGTAATTTTCAATAAATGTAAAAGTGATATTTGCTATCAAAGTAGTATTTGCACTAGCCATTTAAAAAGACATTTATCAAAATGTTAGATGTCTAACATAGAAAATTTTAATATTTTAGCGTGATGGAAAGCATAGTAAAATAATTATCTAAATGGTGCATGATCTAGTAACCCCCTTGGTGTCCATAGTAGCATTAGAATCTTATTTTAGTACAAGAAATAGAGTGTTAGATGAGAGGAGCTGAATGACATATGAAACATTAGAGATGTTAGAAGGCTTTCAGGCTACGGCCCCCCACCATTCAGACACATGGCTTTTTCAAATTTAGACACATGGCATTCCTGAGAATTTGTTGTTAAAGCCCATAGCCCACTACCACCATTCAGACAAGTGGCTTTCTCATTTTCTAGAAAGCAATTTCTAAGAATTTCCTACTAAAGCCCACAACCCACTATTAGGCTACGACCCCCACCATTCAGACATATGGCATTCTCAATTTTTTGGAAAGATAGACAAATAGCATTTTCCGAGAAATTGCTACTAAAGCCCAAAACCCACTACCACAATTTCCAATCCATTCCTAAAAAAATGCAAAAGTGGATTATTCAAAACCACTTCTACCTACATTCTATCAATCTCAATTAATCATTAACCCTCTATGCATCATAACAAAAAAAAAAAACTAACCATATTCTAATAATTATTGAAAAGCTATTTTTTGAAATAAACATTTCTTGAAATTTTAATAATTATTTAAAATATTAATAAATTTAACATTATTGATTCTATAATGTAAATTTAATAGTATTAATTTCCCGTACTTAGTACAGGGTCATTCACTACTTTGTATTTGTCTTATAAAGTGCAAATACAAACATATAGAGTGTAAAGTGTTGTATTTTGTATGTATCTACTCTTTACATATTTGTATTTGTACTCTTTCCAAATCGAGCCTTAGGCTCTGTATCGGAACACTACAATACAAATATGTACAATACAAAACCTTATGAGTATTTCTAAAACTTGCATTTGTAATGCACATATTTGCATTTGCACTCTTCCCAAACAAAGCCTTAGGAGTATAAATACAAATATGTAGAGTGCAAAACTTTGTTTTTTATATTATTTTGTAGGGAAAATCTATGATGTAGAAAAGATATGGTATGGGAAGAGTTTTGACCAATCAAAATCCACTCATGAATTTCGATAAATAACACCTGATTGGGTACCACGTTTATGATTCCAATTGACTGGCCAGAAAATTTTCAAATATCATATCTTTTTCGTATCATAGTCGAACCCTATTTTGTATGTCTTTGCACTGTACATTTTTGTATTTGTACTCTTTCCAAACTGACCCTTAGGTACATATAAACATGTATATTTAAATTGAATTGAAACAGTTTATATGGGATCCAATAGGGATTGATCCATATTCAATCTAATCATAAATGAATTGAATTTAGAATCTTAGATCAACCTTACCCGGATTTAATTTGGATAGTGGATACCGTTTGAAACCTGTTGCTAGCTAACAAACGGCTGTTCAAGAATGGTTGAATATATTAAAACGATATAGCTACTTTTGGGAGATTATCAATCTTGAAAAGTAGAAATCAGGAAACCTGTGGCTCATTAAAACATTGAGATCAAATCAGCCCCCCACAACGTCCCACAGTACATCCCCATCGTGTATTGGGAACATTTCCCAATGACAATACCAGAGATGATGATGTCATCACCGGGAGATGTTCCCAATACGCTGCAGGGATGTACTGTGGGACGCTGTGGGGGGCAATCTTGTGGGGGGCTGATTTGAACTCTAAAACATTTACATACAGTGCAGATGATAAAGAAAGAACTGAATTCCAGATAGGATTCATCAACAAGAGACTCAGGAGTCATTTTAAAACAGCTGAAATTGCTGAACTAAAAGGTTTATTGCTTTGTCTTTTAGTTGTTGAAATAATTAAATAATAAAATTTTCAAGGATACAGTGATTTATCCAATTTCAGTTTCATCCATTGAGGAAACCACAACCTCCTTAAAATCTTATTCACTAAAAGACAAAGCAGTAAGCTTTCCAGTTAAGTATCTTCAGCCATTATCAAACCGCTCTTAGATGCATTGTTTATGGGTCATTGCTTGGTATAATGGTAAAATCTCGCATTGACAACCATAAGGGGTTCAAGTTTCAAACTAGCCACTTTATGCAAGAAAAATCCAAAGCTTAGGTTTATGCCAAATGTGCAGGGGTAAGGCTGCATATATCTATCCCTCCCAGAACCCACATTGGCAGGAACCTCATGCATTGGACTTAGTTTCACATCAAATCAACCTCTCCCATGACCCTAGATAGCTGGGAACAACGTTAGTTAATGGCCTTTTCTTAGTCTAGATGCACAGTTTGACAAGTCCACGTGAATGTAAAAGAAATACAAAGACCATAAATGTATTTAACAAGATGGAGTGGCTTAGATTAATGAAATTTGAGATTGATAGAACGAATAAAAGAACATAAATTAGAGAAAGAGAAGAGCGAGAAGAAAAATTGAGTCAACAGCGTGTTTACTTATCACTTCTCATCAACTTCAAAACCCTTCTTGGAATCAGAAGGATCAACATATCTCCATATGAACCCCAGAGTGCTACCCATGATATTCATTATTACGGCTGACATAGCAGGGGGCAACGCTACCAGAGGAGAAGTGAAATGGGAGGTTGCTAAAACCACGCCCAGTGAAGAATTTTGCATCCCAACCTGCACAAGGGTGTCCGAAAAACATAAATGAAAATATATAACAGAAATAGATACATTGAATGATAGATCACCACAGAGACAACTATAAAGAGTTTGGCTATTGCCTCTCAGCATACCCTCATTGTCACTAGTTTGATATTCACCTTCAACAATAGCTTGTCCAAGTTCAAACCTTTTGTTATCCCAATTGAATTACTGCCAAGAACTCAGCCCTTCACCCTCTTTATTTCTAAACACCCCTCCTACTCCCAATGGCTCCAAATTGCATTGGCTGCTTCCATCAAAGTTTTGTTTCATGAAGTTTAGACAGAGGTGACTAAAGAGCACATTGCGGCTTCTCTTTTGAAGAGCTCTTCACCACCTCACCCCAGTTTCTCCAAATATCATCCAAGGTAGATGTGAAAAGATATCCAGTAGTTCTGACCCAGTGAATCACCCTTGTCATTACACATTCCTTCACTGCTTCCTCACTCCTCTCTTTTTCAAGAAAAACCCTTGCAATCCTTTCTTTCCAAATAGTCCATAGCATAGCCCCTGTCCCCAGACATTTTTTACCTGTACTCGTCCAAAAGAAAGCAGGGGAACCCCCACTATTTCTCACCATAACCAGGCCTTTTTTGTAATGTATTGCTTTTAGAGAATGCCCTAGCATACCCTTGCCCCATTTTCCACCAAATACAGGTTAAAGGTATAGTATGTTGCATCCAAGGAACATACTCTTATGAGCACAAGATGACAATACAAGATACATGTTTCACAAGAGTTTGGAAAAGTTTTAACACTGGCTGCCAACCTGATGCAGCCCTCCTTTATTTGAGTTTGGGACCAGGACTAGCAGTGTCAGACAAGCTCACACTCGTGGAGTTGTGAATGGTATTTATTTGTTTGAATTATAATTTGAATTTGATCCAATAAAGGCAATCCAATACAATCCATTTAACAATTGGATTGAATGTGGATCCACCTCAATCCAATTCAATAGTTTTCAATACATATGCATATATTAGTAAAGTTAGTATTGTTAGTACTTAGTATTTATGTTATAATGTTACCATAGAGTCATCAGTTCCAGTTCAGAATTTTTTCAAGGTATTGCATTCAGGATATAAAGCACCAAAGTCATTTCTAGTTAATTTTATTAGCAACACTGACATTCTGACCACTTTTAGTTTAATTTGCTAACATAACGCAATATCTGAATCCATTTCAAATTCAATCTGAATCCAACAGATAACATTTAATATGGGTATTAATTGATTGAATTTGGATCTAGATATTTCTGATTCATCCTCACTTCAAATCAGATAAATCAAAGCAGAGATATTATAACTGAGACTACATTAATGTTCAGTTAAACAGACCTCAATTGAAATTGCTCGCCGTTGTGATTCTCTAAACCCACAAATAGCTGCCGATAGATACCTGTAACAAGCGATCATTTAGTCAATTTCACGCATTCAGAATTTGAGAAATCTATACATAACAATCTAATATTTAACCTATCCAGGTATTTACTTTTAAGAAACCTGATCATATTAACCCATTACATGGGTCCATCCAGCTAGTAGCATGAGATATCCAGAATAAAACATAATAGATTATGGTCCATTTGAGTGTTACAGAAATATGCAATAAAACTTAAAAAAAAAAATTAAAAGATTGATGTTTAAATTAGAGAAACAATACAGAATGAAGAAATAGCAATAGAAGAGTAGAGAGGTATACAAAGAATTGAGAGAGAACAAAAGCAATCAAAAGTGAGTCTGGCCAGTCCACTCATTAACCTATAAACTTAACTTAAAAACAGACAGTGACAATACTGCCCTCTCATAAATAAGAAATAATAAAAGATGAAAAACCTATTAATCTCCATAGTCCCCTTCAAGTGGAGCACAGATGTCAATCATGCTCAACTTGCCAAAAATATAATCAAACTTCCTCTAAACTAAGTATTCAGTTCAGATATCGGCCAACGAATCTTCAGTCCTGACATACAGAAGAAAAATCTCTTTTATGTCAACCTTTTCTTAGATGAAATGTCTATCCACATCCACATGTTTGATGTTGTCATAATAGACAGGATCGTGATCTATACTGATTGCAGCCTTGTTATCACAATAGAGTCTCACAAGTTCATAATGAGCAACTCCAAGCTCTCACTAAGTCTCAATAGAAACTTCAGCCACATCAATTATGATATAATACTAGCCCTAGACCTAAATTCAGCTTAAGCACTTGATCTAGCTACAAAATTTTATTTTTTGTTCCACGTCACCAAAGTTCCACCAAGCAAGGCACAATAACCAGAAATAGAGAACCAGTCATCTACAGATCCAATCCAATCAACATTTGTATATGCCCAAAGTCAGCAAAAAGTAATCCCTTCCAAGAGAAGCTTTCAAGTATCTAAGAATCCATTCAACTGCTTCCAAATGAGGAATACAGGGGGCACACATATATTGAATTATCACTTCAACAACGTAAGCAATGTGTGGCCATGCCAAGGATAAGTACAGTAATTGACTTATCAATCTTTGGTAAATCTCTTTATCATATAGTACCTCTCCATCTGTCTATGCATCTGATGATTAGGATCTATTGGTGCATCTGTAGGTTTAGACTCTAGCTTCAACAACGTAAGCAATGTGTGGCCATGCCAAGGATAAGTACAGTAATTGACTTATCAATCTTTGGTAAATCTCTTTATCATATAGTACCTCTCCATCTGTCTATTCATCTGATGATTAGGATCTATTGGTGCATCTGTAGGTTTAGATCCCAGCTTCCCTGTTTCTTCTAGCAAATTCAAAGTATATTTCCTCTGTGAAACTAATATTCCTTTCTTGGACGTCACAACTCCAAAGTCTTTGAGTTCACCAAATCTTTAATCTCAAATTCTAATGCTAAGAAAGCCTTGAGCTGCTGAATTTCCCCATGCTTTCTTGAACCAATCAAACCAAGCTCTTAGTGATCGTTTCAACCTATAAATAGATTTTTTTTAACTGGCACACCTTCTCTAAAATTTACTTCAACCCTTGGAGGTAGGAGCATATACACTTCTTTAAATCTCCATGTAAGAATGCATTTTTCACATCTAGTTAATATAAAGGCTAACATCTATATGTAGTTGCAGCCAAAAAATACATAATGGAGTTCATTTTAGCTACTGCAGCAAAAATCTTAGTAATCAATGCCATAGTTTTCTTTTTTTTTTTATCAGCAAAAGATTAATTTTATTAATGGGTGGTAAAAGTTCCAATAGATTGGCTATCCTTACACCAAAAATACAGAAAACAACAATGTCCATATAACTAATTTACAATAGAGCCCAGAATAAGTGCTGCCTCAATACCCCTTGCTTAGCTAAAGTATCAGCCATCCCATTAGTCGTCTTGTGTGTCCAAGTAAAGGAAGTATTCAAGTCCCCTTTCAGACTCTATCTCCCTTAAGGCATGTTGGTAAGACCAAGGTAGGTACATTCTAACTATAAGTGATCCAAGAAAAAATCGTTTTTGAATTTCCTTCAACTTCCAGATTTCTAAAATTGGATTGCTTAGCAAGATTTAATCCTTGTAACAGCACCATCAGTTCAGCCTTTAATCAGTCCCCTTCTCCTATAGGTCTTGAGTACATAGCCAGCACTTTAGTTGAGGAGCCTCTAAACACACCACCAATACCTACCATCCCCGGGTTTAAATAGAGCTCCCATCAAAATTTAACTTTATTTTATCCCTTTTTGGCGACTTCCATTCAATCATCTCTCATTCCTTTTGTTTCAAAGAGTGTGCCACCTCATTCCAAGCCCTTACTATATGAGTCACTATAAAACATTGGAAGATATCAAGAGTTTTTATCCAATGAGCCACTTTAATTTTTATTAATTCCACCAACTCCTTCTTTGACCTGAACAACTCATTAAATATTCTTGCATTCCTATCCTCCCAAATGGTCCAACCACAGCAGCTCTAACTGCCTCCCACATTGTTGTCCTTCCTTTTGTTGGCTGTCTTGGAATTTGGACTGAAGAGACTCACTACATCCTGAGGAGTTGTCCTACCTTTGATTTTGTAATCTTCAAGGTTGATGAGGCATCCTTCTTGGTTACCTCTTTCCTTTGGAGGCTTAAAACCTGTGTTTTTGGCAGAGTTGACCATAGCTTGTACATGTAGGTTCCTTCTCACAGGAGAGGACTTAGTGACCTTTCTCTTTTTTTTTTTTTCCTTCTTGATCTTCTTCTCAGTCTTAGGAGCCGAGGACATGGTGGCAGCAGCAAGGGGACTCACATCCACAGTGAATGTGAGTCCCTCTTTGAGCCCCCCACCCCAATTTTCTCATTTTCTACAGCCGTAAGTTCAAGGTAGTGGACAATTACCTTTGGTGCCAAGATTTCTTCCTGTATAGGCACAACACAAATATAAGAATAATGCATGAATTATCATCATTTTTTTAGTTTTAGCCTATTCTTTCATTTTAACTTCTTTTGCCAAAGATGAAAAGGAGAATGGGTCCCACCGAACATTACAAAACTATGTTGGTGGAAAATTTTTAGTATAATTTCTCACATAACATAACTCACCAAATTATACTAATGATTTGGAGTTTTGATATTTGGGCAAGTCCCATTCAGGAAATCACGCAGATGATCCCTTAGATTCTGATTTAGAAGTATAAATGAATAGACTAAAGTAGAATTTTACTTTGAAAATTCCGGTATATATTCCCTCTTTACTTGAGAGGAAACTAGCAAATATAAATAAATAAACTTTTTTATGCATAACAAGCAAATAGGGATCATAAGTAGCCATATTTCATGAATAAGGTAGCAGATGGCTTTTAAATAGTGGTTACGTGCATTGTCATTGTGTGAGGAACCATAGTCAGCCAAGTCCTTTTCTTAAAACTAGTATGTGGTTTTCTCCCCTCACACATAGGTTAATATGGTGTGAAGAACCATAATCAGCCAAGTTTCATGAACAAGGCTGTAGATGGTT